TGACTCATGACCATATCATGCTTATCATTGCAATTCATACACCTCTTTTTGATCCAATGCTGTTTTGAACAATTTTCTTGTTAGAATTCATTCAAGATCACGTTTATCACTTGCTCATGTCTTTTCATGGTCCTAAATACTGCTGGCTTAATCTATGCTCATCAAAATGCATCTCAAGGTTTTAAAATGCATGTTCCTTCGAATTTCACTTTGTGTACATTGTTTGGAAAAATGGATGGCACCTTTGTATTCCTCATAAAAAATCAGTCAAGATTGACTAAAATTTTGCTAAAAAAGGTTGAGTTTTGAAGAAGTTATGATCAAACCGTTTTTATGCATTTCACTTGATTTTGTCACAAACTTGCCCAGTAATTCACTTTGTTTCAGTATATATTTAATTTGGGGTGGCATAATACTTGGATGTATCGCCACCCCAGTGGTTAGAACTTGCGCGCTTTAGTCACCTTTCACCTACCTGACCTGGGTTCGATCCGTGTGGAGGTCAACCCTTTTGGTTTTTATTTCATTTATTCTGTTTATATTATTTTCTTCTTCTTTTCCATCATTTTCATACGCGCGCAGGTGGCCTAGTGGTGAATTATTACCCTTGTGGTCCAAGGGTCGTGGGTTCAACACCCACCTTGTGCATTCTCTTGTCCTTTTAATTATTTGTTTACTTATGTTTTCTTTACAAAATTCAAAAATTCATAACTTGTTCAATTTTAATCCTTTTTTAGTGATTCTTTTTGCTAAATTCTTGTTTTAATATATATATTTTTCACATGATTTATGATTTATAAGTTATCCCTACCTTCCTAACCTTAGGATCCGAGTCGTCGTGCTCATGTTTACCGTCCCGCAGTGGACAATTTATCCTTTTATCCTAGCCTTAGGATTTGAGTCGCCGTGCTCACTTTTAGCCGTCCCGCCGTGCTCACTTTTAGTCGTCCCGCCGTGAACATCTTTTATCCATTATCCTAGCCTTAGGATTTGAGTCTCCGTGCTCACTTTTACCGTCCCGCCGTGGACATCCTTTATCTGTTATCCTAACCTTAGGGTTTGAGTCACCATGCTCACTTTTAGCGTCCCGCTGTGGACATCCTCTATCACAACAATTTCAACGTAGATCTAGGAGTCGCCGCCTACCCTAGGCATAACCAACCCCCGAACCTTTAGATCTCTCTTTGCTCAGCTTTAGACCTTGCCTCTTGCTTTGCATCTTTATTAGGTCTTTCTTTCTTTAAACCTTTCCTTTTGGATAAATTAAAGTCTGGTTGTGAATTGAAGAATTAAGATTCAAGTTAATCAATAGCTTGTTATCACGATTCTCACTGCAACTTCACTGGGGATTCCCCTAAGAGGGTTAAGCCCACCTTGTTTATATATGTGTTTGCTATATGTTTAATTGATTTATGTACATCTATATGTTTGTGCTTGGGTTTTTCTGTATGCAGGTTTGTTACCTTGAGTGGTGAGGAAGTCCTATACCCGGACTCAAGTGCACTTATGATAGGATGGTGGTATATTCAAGAAGGCTTATAAGGAGTTGATTCCCGACCAAGCTAACTTGAGAAACCACCACTCAGTGGAGGCCCTTTTGAGAGTTAGTTTTGTTGAATGAGTATTCGTGAAAACATTACTACTTTCAACCTAGGAGCCTTTGACACTGAGGACTTTTTAGTTACCTTTTACCCCACTTGGCCTTTTAGGATGTAGTGCAATGACTATGAGGGAGTACTCCCAAAGTAGTTGATACGCGATACTACACTTGGATGAGACTCTCTTTAGAATATTATCGACTACCGAGTGATTTGGGAAATTGATAATATTTGAAAGATGGGTTGTTGACTCTGGGAACCTTGTTAGAACCCGTTGTGCAGGTGCTTTACCCCTAGTACATACCTTAATGGTTGGTTCTTTACTCAAACTCCATGATGTGATCTCGAACCTTTGATCGTGTTATGTATGTTTTGCATCCTATCTCGCATTACATTGCATTGCATTTGCATCTTTGCATGGTTCGTTGCATACCCTTATTTGTCCAGTCGCTCATCTCCAGCTGTCTCCATCTTCCAGTGTGCCTTTGAGTCGTCAAACTGATTCCTCGACACTGATATCGGACTAGAGCTAATTATAGACACAAGATGTCAGAGCAAGAAGTACACAATCCAGAGATCCAAATGGAGATCGATGATTTGAAATCAGACATGACAACTCATCTTTGTACTGATTTAGTCACTAGGCGTTTTGTTTCTCTTTGTTTGTACTTTCCTTACTTTGTTTAAGCTGTTTGCTTTCAAATTATGTTTGTACTTTCATACCAATGGAATGAGCATTACAACTTTTGTTTCAATTCATTTTGCCTATTATGCTTTATCTTTCAAATATTTATTTATTGTCCAAATTTTTGATTATGCAATTATTTGAGGGAGGATGATGAAAACGTTATACCCATAACTGTTGTTAGTATGCTTTCAATCAAACTTTGTTGACGATGTAAGGCATTATTTCAACTCCCAAACACTGGAGAAATAAGGAAGATAATCCCTCGTTAACCCCTTCGAGCCTAGAAGTTGGAGTTTCTTTCTTTACAAAAACCCGCAGTTTTAACCTTGGGGTGGGTAGTGCTCAGTTAACTCGGTTGTGTGTTCATACAAGACACCTTTCATATAAAGGTTGCAACTACAATTTTTTCCTTCTCACACAACAAACAAGTGTCGAAGATGTCTTTCAAGCAAAAAAGCCGATGATGGTTCACCGTGATCATTAAGCTAGACAATCACTCTCATTCTTTCAAAAAAAATATAATCAAAAGAAAAAGCCCGCTAAGTCAAAACCTATGAAGAAGATTTAAGCAAAACCGGGGCATCCCGCTGACTGTAAGTTTCAAAAGAAATAGTTCAGTCAAAAGTTAGGGATGATAATAGAGGAGATCTTTAAATCCTTTAATTTTAAAACAACCAAATGTTGTAAAGAAGCAGTGACTGCCTTTTCAAAAAGTTTGAACCATCATCATTACTATCATCAGTGCAATTCCTAACCCATGGGAACCTGAGCGCATAATCTGAGTTAACTGAGCATAGGACTGGAGATTATCACGTAGATTGGGTGGGTTAAAATAAACTTTGAGCCTTTATCCTTTGTTTCTTAAAACCGTGAACCAGGCCACATTACAATACTCAAAAGACCTAATTGAATCAAGGTTATTTTGAAAGCATACTACAACAAGGTTGCGTAAACTGACTCCAAAAGATCTTTGCAAATCAATTATTTTGGCAGTACACCTTTGCTTTAAACTTTGAGTGTCTTGAACCGCCGTGTTCAGACCAATGACTCTTTTACTTTGCATCTTTCAAAAATGATTTTGATTTCAAAAGTTGCATGAACTTTGCATTACCATGTTTGTATGAACACTTTTGTTTTCAAATTGGCTTTCCTCTCAAGGAATTTTCAAACATAGAGAAACTTGGTCAAGTGATCCTATCAGGGGCAAGTTCCTTTTACATCCTGTCTAAAAATCAATTCAAGAGTTGGTTAGGGCAAGGTATTCTCAGATTTAGTTTATCCAGAAGATATTTCAAGACTCAGACTGGGGCAAGCTCTCCAAGCACCCAGTGGATCAGTCATCTTCAACATCAGACAAGCTGAAGCATTATCAGTTAATCTACAACAGACAGCTAAACTGGGGCAGTTCACTTGAAGAATCCCCAAGCAGCTATTTATCCTTCCTACAAGGATCATATATTTAATACAATTTACCAGTGTGGCAGAGATGTGTTCATCAGTAGCATCTTTAGACCCCCAAGCAGATTGAAAGTGATCTTCGTGTTGAGGAATCAGTTATCCAGTCTTGTTTTCTCACCAAAAGAGTCGAGCCTTGTCGTCGGCGTCTGCATTTGCATTTTATATCATCTGCATAATTTATACATGCGTATATCATAAGCATAATTCATATACATGTGCATATCATGGGTGTTTTATTTCCCATTTGCTTTTTCTCCCGAGGTCGTGTTTTATTCGCGTTTTACCTTGTGGACAATTCTCATTTACCTGGCATCATGGGTGTTTTATTCCCCATTTTCTTTTTCTCCCGAGGTCGTGTTTTATCCGCGTCTTACGTTGTGGACAATTTTCATTTACCTGGCATCATGGGTGTTTTATTCCCCATTTGCATTTCAATTTTCTTTGTGGTTCACCTTTAAAACTGTTGATTATCCCCATGAGGTTTTTAACCTTTTGTTTACATTTTTGTGACATTGTGTTTACATATGATATCCACTACCTTTACCCCGTTTTCCTAACCTTAGGATTGGAGTCGCCGTGCTCTATTTAGCGTCCCGCCGTGGACATCCATACACCTTTAACCTTTATCCTAACCTTAGGATTTGAGTCGTTGTACTCATGTTTAGCGTCCCGCCGTGGACATTCTCCCATAACAATTTCAACATAGATTTAGGAGTCGCGCACTCCATGTAAGTACTTCCCTATGAATGCTTTCAAAATGACAACAAATTATTGGCAACATTCAAATAGGCAGAAAATAACAAATGAAAACGGAATGGAGGCCGACTTCCCCCACAAAGAACAAAATATGGTAAGGATAGAAGGGCCAAAAGATTCTGGTTTCATTGATTAGCAGTACAAACAAAGAGGTCAAAAGTTTAACTCACAAACAAAAAGCTCAGAAGCCAAACGTAACAAATAGATTTCACTGAAGAAACCCACTTAGGGCTTCTTCTTACATGTTAAACGGCTCATCACTGCGGAAACATACTCACTAATACATTTACAGGATCATCACTGTTGAATACAAATAAGCACTAACTAATTCAACACTGCTCAACAATTATCTAGTTAGTGAAAGAATTTATTGGAAATTTTGCATCAAGTTACCAGCAATACACAAACAGCCATCACAACAATATTGTGAAACACAACTAAACCATCACAATTCTCAAGCCATTCAATAAAATATTTATTAATATAATTAACAAAGTTTATCAAAAATTTACCTGATTTTGAACGACCTTTGCCATCCTCCTAAACTCCTTCTTCATCACAGATTTGTGAAGCAAAGCGGAAGGCTTGTTCTGCTTCCTTGGCTTGGTAGTTTCCAACAACACAGATTGATCTTTGCCAGCTGGCTGAATAGTAACAGTTTTCTTATTGGCCAAACCTATCACAGAAACACAAACTAAGATCCACGCCCAGAAATCACACATAATGTAAACATTATTAAAAACACGATCTTAATACTAATTTCACTGAATCCAAATAAAATCACATTTATTCTATAACAATCAAAGGTAAAACCATATTGATAAAAAGGTTTTTTTATACTAACCGGAGTACTTGAAAGAGTTTAGGTTGTAGAGATTGTTTGGCTCTCTACTAAACTGAACACTCTGAGTGTTGTTACCGAACTCCTTAACCAAGAAAGAGTTGTTCATCTTCACAATCTCCCAAACAAGAAGTCCAGGTACTGTTGTCATCTTCTTCTTCTTCTACCTGAAAAATACAGATCAAAATCAACAACAAATCGGTAATAACAAAGAACCCTAATAACACATACGCTACAAAATGTTAATCGAACCTTTGGTTGTTGCTAAGAGAAATGAGATTTGAGTTTGAGAAGAAGAGAAAGCCGCAAAGCAATATATGTAATGAGAAAGATGGGATCTAAAACCCTGATTCAACTTTGTAGTTAGATTGAAGATGTTGTTGGGTTTAAAAGTCTATGGCCCATTAGCCCAACAGAGTCCCAAAACCGATTTATAGTAAAAATGTAATTAAAATGTTTTCTGATATATGAATGAATGAATTATTATATTTGTATGTAATAAATTTAATTAACTGTTCTATTATAGTTTTATCTAATTCCTCAAGCACACAATATAATTAATAATGGATTGATATAGTCCATTCATTTGATAATAAGGATTAAGATATGTTTGGTTCTGGGTACGGGGAGGGGAAGAAAAGGGAGATTTTTAATTAAAAGTAAAAATATTGTCTAGGTTTTTTAATTTATCTTTAAAATATTAAGTTAGTCTTTCAAAAAAAATTTTAATGCTTTGATACTTTATGTTTAGTGACGTTTGCGTCGTTGACTTTTTAAAAAAATTTGTTACAATAAATTGCAAATTCATATACCATTTGAACTAGTTTTTTCGCACGGATCACGAATATGCAGTCAAATTTATTAAAAAAGTTACAGTTCATGAGAATCAGATAAAAAAATAGACAAATACATAATGAAAAATCGTTGGATCGGACCAAAATTTACAATTAAATGCAAATTTAATTACATATTCGTGATCAGCGTAAAAAAACTAGTTCACATAGTATATGTTATTGCAATTTATTATAACGGAGATTTTTAAAAAAGTCAACGACGCAACGTTGCTTAACATAAAGAACCAAAGTGTTACAAAAATAACTTAAAGGACTAACTTAATATTTTAAAATAATTTAAAAAACTAATACAGTATTTTTACCTTAATTAAATATGTTTGATTCAAAATTTAAGAGGGGAGCGGAGGGGAAGGGAGGGAATATGAGTTTGGATATTAAAAAAATTATTATATTTACTAAAATATCATCGATTTAATTTTAGTATTTCAAAATTATTTGTTTTCTTTTGTGTTATTACTTTCTTCTCTGTGATTTTCTCGATTGCTTTCATCATCTTATTATAATTGTTATATACTTTCAAATTATTTTAGAATTTTTGTACTTTATAAAAATCATAATCATTGCACTTTTTTTGTTTTTTAATTAAAAATATTATGATTAGTTACATTCGTTTTTTATACTAATTTTGTTAGGTATCCTATCATGTTTTTTTTTATTCAAATTTTAAATCATTCTTTTTTTTTTAATTCATTTTATTAAACATTTTGAACCATTAATGTTTAATAATAATTTATTTTATGTATTTGTTTTGTTAAATGATTCAACACGATTTAAACGTTGTTATCGGCCTATAATTTAATGTATATTGAAGAGTTATAATCTAAATCAAGTGTACTCAATTCTTTAACTTTATGTGGTAAATAAATAACTTTTTAGTCACTCAATATTAAAAAATTTATTATCATAAAAAATATGCATGAATTTTTCACATATGAATAGCATATCACCTATATAAGATCATAAGAATAAAAATGTAAATTATTAATAAAATTTCTCCCATCCCCTCCTAAACCACACGCATTTTTAATTAAAATATCTCCCCTCTCCTCTCCTTCCCTCTTTTGAACCAAACATTTATCCTATTAAAAAAAATTTCTCACCTCCCTTCCCATTCTCTTCCCTCCATTAAAATCTCTCATCTTCTCTCTCCCTCATTTTAACCAAACATACCCTTAATTTCACATATTTTTTTATACTAAATTTCGATCATTTTTTAATACAATTTTATAAATTATAATTTTTATTTTAAAACTGATATTACTTTGAATAATAATTTTTTAACAATCACTTTTATAAGGTTAAACTCTTATATTTATGTACCAATCATTTTTTATAAATATTTACAGGGTTAAACTTTTCTTAATTAGTTGGCACTTCAAATGTAAAAAAGAATTAGAAATTTTAAATTGTTAATTTAGATTTTAATATTTTAATAACAAGAATAATATGTCAAAATAAATCAGTATGAATCACAACACACAGAAATTAAACCCATTAAATATAATAAATATATATTAAAAATATTATTATTACTTTTAAAGTTTCCAAAACGTAAATAGAGAATTTTAGCATATAAAATGATGAAATGACAATATGCGATATCACATAACTCAGCAATACTTGATTTGTCTTTATCATCAACTTCTACATATCATTTCTCTCTACGATCCTATCAATTGACAACAATCTTTATAAACGAGCTTATATTATTTAATTGAGAGGAGACTGTGAGGCCTATTTTTAAAACTATCATCATGTTTTTGCAATAGTAGCAGTTCAAAATCCCTCCACCTTTTTGAGTAGACATAAATTCACTTAACCATTCCCGACAGCTGTATCGAGTGAAAAGAGAAACACTCAGATAAAAACTAAAGACAATATAATAACATAGTATTGGTCTTATATTTGAAAACACAATAAAAATAATGTGCCAGACAGAAATCCAAAACTCCCAAACCAGTTCTAGAAAGAAAAAAAAAACTACAAAAAGGTGGACACAATTCATGAAAATGTAACATGCAATTAAACTTTCTTCTCAATCTAATTCAATCAAGCATGTATGTTCCTCTTCTTTGCACCAGACTTTGCAACTTTGAGGCTTCTGTTAACAACACTCAACCTTGCAAGAGCAGCCTTCTTGAGATCTGGTCTGTAGTAGTTATCTGCCACATGTATAACATCAAGAACAACACAAGAAATTAGCATCATAAATTTAGGCAAATTAAGCTTGGGAGTTTCATTAAATAAAGGTGAGGCATACACATGCATACATAAACAAGATTCAAATTGAGATGACAACTCAGAAACAGTTTATATATAAAACCGAATATTATTCTAAAATAGTTTAATGGGCATTATTAGGTGAGTTAGTTAAATGTAAATAACATAAAGTATGAGATCAAGGAAGGAACATTAGAATAACCAATTCTCAGAAGCCAAGCGTAACAAGCAAATTTCATTGAAGAACCCCACAAAGGGATTCTTCTTACGTGTTAAACAGCTCATCACAGATGGGAACATTCAGCATATTGTTCAAAAGAATTCAGTTTACACAGAAAATATACAAAGAAACATATATGGAGAACAATTGCCTTGGACAAGTCTGCTATACTCAACTAACATAACCTATAAAGAGATTAAAAGGTTGCATTAACAAAATACTATTGATGATCAAAGCTCAGAAGCCAAGCGTAACAAGTAAATTTCATTGGAGAAACCCACTTAGGGATTCTACTTATATGTTAACGGCTCATCACAGCAGATTCATACTAATAAAAGAAGTTCAAAATATGGAGAGGTTCAAAATAATAAAACAAATTATTTGAAATGTGAAATTAGGAAGAATGGATCAACTAATAAAAGTTGTCCACAATAAACAACAATTTGACAGATTCATACTTCTGAATAATTCAGGGACAGGTTATATACTTATTGGTGAAAGCTCAGAAGCCAAGCGTAACAAGTAAATTTCATGGAAGAAACCCACATAGGGATTCTACTTATATGTTAGAGGCTAATCACAGTTGGGGAACACTCACTATTTGTTGCACCCCATTTTGACCCCTTAGATCTTCATCATCATTTTAGGATCATATTCATTTGTTTATCTAACCATAACCTATTTCAAGTTTGACTTTGTTCAAATACAGGTGAATTAGGGTTTCTGATCAGGAAAATTCAACTGTGGATTGACTTTTCATTTAAAAGGTGTTTGTCACTACCGCGAAAATAAGGTGCCGGCAAAACAGAAGAGTCGCCACCTTTCGTTATTTATCCCTCAGAGCGGGAAAGGAAACGATCGGAAAAACCTGACGAAAAGGTATAAGACAAGGTCATCGCAACCGTTGTCTGGGTTCGGGAGTCGGTTACGCAAGGGGAAGGTATTAGCACCCCTCACGTCCATCGTACTCGATGGGATCCATGCTTGCTGTGTTTATCTGACGGGTTTGTTTACTATCTACCTATCAAGGCTGGTCTGAAAAGAAACGAAAATGACTCGGCAAAGCGTCGCGCTTTATGCCTACGTATTCTCATCAGAGAATGAGAAATCAGAGTCAACGTAGTTAGACTAACTACGGGTTACGGGGAAGTTGGCTCGCCAATACATCAGTATTGTGCCTACGTACTCTCAACAGATATGAGAGATCAGAGCTTACGTAGTTCAGGATAATACGGATTACGGGAATTCAGATTCATCTATTTTTCCGAGTAGGGTTAACAAATAGTTCCAACAGTTGGATGTACGCTGCTCGACCCTTGGAGACTTATGCGTTACCTTTGCGGTAGAACTGGGAGTTAACGACACTCTTTTCTTCAGAAAAGCTTCCTTTGAATTATGGGCCCACGGGGCAAAAAAGGTTTGAAGTTTGTTTTCTGTCTTTTACGGAAGAACTGTTTTTTATGGATGTCTGCAACCAATATCGCACTAGAGACTATGACCTGAGAGTGAATGCGTCTCATGTCACCCAAAGGGTGCCATACTAAACATCCAAACTGTTGAAAAGAAACTCTCCAACAATCCTTTCTCAGATGGCTTAAGGCTCGTAACGCACGACGTCAGTTAACCTTTATTACTGTATTTTGATTTGTTTTGAGATGAGAAGAGAGAACAAGTTCAACTAAGGGGAGACTATCAAGTCCTAACAGTCATGCCAAGGATTCATCCTATGGTTGAAGTTTGAAACAGGGAACTCCTAGAAGTTATCATGCATAGGTTTCAACCTAAAGTTCTAATCATCACTTCCTTATCAAAGGAAGTGAGATTCCTAGGGGATCATGTCAATGGTAAACAGAAACA